TAGCTTAATTTTATAAGGCATTTTCACGTATGCAATACAAAACTACACATGTGTTCAAGGCAGGATTAATGTCTATATTGCATATTCCCAGTAGTATAATTTATAGCAAATAATCAAGAAATATTTGTTATATAAGTTATTTTATATCTTAACCTTGGGAAATATAACAAGAAATATTATGTTCAGTTTCCACATGAGATGGAAACTTCAAGAAGTTGGGTTGACCATTCCCTGTTCAACTTCTTGACCTCATAATTAACACAGTATCCAAATGATGGAGTAAAGGCTTCCATTAGTTTTAATTCATTTACATCCTTCATCATCTTTGCTTATGGATTCTTCCTTTGACTTGTATCACTACTCTGGATTTTGACCCACCATTTTTGTTTATATTGTCCAACCGCATCTATTGTCCTTCCCTGGTTTGCAGGCTTTCAGAACTCCACTCTACTGTTCACAGGAGCTCGGGTGAACCTGAAGAGAGTGCTGTGGTGGACAGCAGAGAATATGGGTGACAATATGGAGCTTGCTCATAGCAACCTTTCTGACCTTGACTTAACCACCCTGAGACTCAGTTTCCTTATACATAGAATGAAGTGAAGGTAGAGTTACAGGATCTGCATGATTATTTGTCATGGAAACAGTCTGGTTATGTGATAGCCCTCTGCTTCTCTACCTGTCGGTCACTGTCTTTCTACTTCAACTTAATGTCCCCCAAAGCCTAGCTTGACCTGTGATGATAACCTCATATTGTCCGAGTTCCTTCTGTATCTGACAAGACTCTACTCAGGCATATGAACACAACTGGCTCATTATCTATGTGTGTCTTGGGAGGGTTTCTGTATAAGAGGGTAGGTGAGCACTAGGTAGGATCACCACGGTCTCTTTCCTTCGAATAATCAGAACCATACTTCTCATTTCTTAGTACTATCCTGTCTTCTTTTGTATGCCTTTGTTTTATGGTCCAGGGTATTATGTGCATATATTTTTATTTATGTCAAGTTACATCACAATCAATGTTAAGATCAGTCTTCCAAAAAAAAATAGCAAATTACATCAAAACTCAAAGCGTTATCATTAAAGAAAAAACATTTTTGTCTTTGAAGATATTCTCGTCTTTTCTTTAGTGATAGTGAGTTAAGGTGGGCTCGAAAGTGATTTTATGTGTGTATAGGATTCTCATTTTTATTATACGAATTATATAAAATAAAAATTCTCCTTTTTATTGTGTTTCTTATAACCTAGTCACAACCTCTTTCCAACCCTGTAGTTCTGCACAGTTTCAATGTTAGACACCCCTTCCTCTGAAGACTAGAAGTACTTCTGTATAAGGAAGTTGACTTTAAGGAAAATTGCAACATACCCTATGAAGCAAGTTTGAAAAATATATGCAAAAATAGTATGGCGATCCAACCTGAAAACACCGCAGGGAAGAGAACTCAATAGGCGTGAAAGATGATGGAAATATTCCTGTTTGTCAAAGAATTAAGACAGCAAATGATGTGTATATGAAGGCAAAGCACTCAGAGAAAAAAAAGGGAAACTAAAGTGGGAGGTAGAATACGTCCTGACAGCTTGAGACCGCAAAGGAACAAGATATTCATACTTCAGCTCCAGGCCTGCAGGGAATCTTGCTTGGTGGAGAAATTCAAATAGGTGATACAGGTAATCTTCTGTAAATATGATTTATGTGTAAATGATTCTGTGGTAAAAATAACCCGTGGCCACTTCTCCCGAGGTCTTGGAAGGCAAATGATTTCAAGGTGCTAGCAGTGGATTAAGTAATCTCTTAAGTAATTTATGATAATCAGACATTTAAAAAAGTCTGCGATTTGAAAAACAAAGCAAAGCGTAAAACTCCCCAAACCCAACTTGCCTACAGGGTAGTCAGTGTTTCCAGGAAAAGAATAGAAAAAGTCTGTGCTTTTATTTTTTTTCCTCCGGCGAGGTACATCTGTGCTGTTTCAGGCACCAGCTTCCGATGCAGCCTAACTTCAAGGGCATCCTATCCTGGCCTGCTGGACCATGATGTTCCCATGAACTTCAGCCTATGTGTTCCAGAAAAATAAGCAGGAGGCCATTAACCTGGCATTGTTTCTGTATCTGGTAACCTTACACAGCAAATTGAAACCCAGAAGCATTCCTTATAGTGGATTATTTTTTAAGAGCATTTTTTTTTTATTGATGCATTACAATTGTACAGTATGGTGGGCTTTGTTGTTACATATTCATACGTACACATGCCATAATTTAGCCAATTTCCTTTCCCAGTACCTCCCTGTTTCCTCCCCCTGGTCTCCTTTCTCTATTCTACTGCTCTCCCTTTCTATCTTCATGATAGAAGGGAGAGCAGTAGAATATCCTTTATCTTCTCTAACTTCCACATGAAAGAAAACACAAGTTTCTTGACATTCTGAGCCTGGATTATTGTGTATAACATAATGCTTTCAAATTCTATTGATTTTCCTGTGAATGACATGATTTTATTCTTTTTTTTTTATGACTGAATAAAACCCTATTTGTGTGTGTGTGTGTGTGTGTGTGTATGTGTGTGTGTATGTGTCCGCACGTGCATTCACTGATGGACACCTAGACTGGTTCCACAGTTTGGCTACTATGAGTTGTACTGCTGCTATAAACGTGGGTATGTGTGTGACTTAGCTGACTTAGGTTCTTTTGGATAAATACTGAGGAATGGTATAGCTTGGTTGAGTTATATCCATTCCCAGTCTTTTGAGGAACCTCCATACTGATTCCCACAGTGGTATAACCGATTAATTTTGATTCGACTTTCAGCCTATCACAGACAGCCACCTACACAACTGGTGATAACACCGAACCGAACCATACCCCAATAAGTCAGATGCCAATCAAGTCATTACTTTGCTCCCATTTTCAGCGTACAAAAAGCTTGCTGTTCACACTGCTGGAGTGGGGCTCTCTGAACTTCTTCCAGTTTAGAGGGTTGCTGAATTCTTTGTTGAATAAACTCTGTTAAATTTATTTTTTTTTCTAAAAATTTTAAACATGAGACAGAAAAGGGGAGATTCAGCAGGGGAAAATGCTCGGCCTTCCTGCCTTGTGCAGACTCATATCCCTGGGGAAGTCTTTGCTTCCCTAAAGGTGGGCTTGGGTTTCCTAACAGATTCTGGACCCCAGTTTGGGTTTGCAGGCTCATATGGGGATGAGGCTAAGAAGCTAAGCAGTTTCTTTGTCTTTCTCCACATTAGAACTCATGGTTCTCGGTGTATGGTACTCTTCTTGGACCATCTCTTTTGTTCATGGTGTCCCTGGGCAGTTTTTATTTTTATTTTTGCCTTTGATATCCCATCTTTTAAGTTCATTTATTTTTTATTTGTTCTCTTTAGTTACACATGAGAGTAGAGCCTATTTTTGACATATTTACATAAACATGTAGTATATCTTATTCTAATTAGGATCTCAGTTATGGATGCACACGAGGGTGAGATTCGCTGTAGCATATTCATGTATGTACAGAGGAAAGTTACGTCAGATTCATTCCACTGTCTTTTCTATTTTTGAAATCCCATCTTAACATGCTCTTTCATCTTTGTTAAAATTTTGTTTTATCACAATTTTTCTTCCTTCATTTTTCTTATAATTCCTACACTTCCTTTAAGAAACTCCTTGACATGTTTTCCTTTGCTTTATTGACTCTTATGGATAGGTCTAGAACAGTGTTTCTCAAAGTATACTTCTCATGAAACCTGATTAAAGATACCTGAGGTTATTATTAAAGACTGAAACCCCTAGGTTCTTCACCTTCAGAGCTCAGGACTGGCTTCACAGGTGTGCAACCTGTGAGTTGCTTAGGACACTGGTTTAGAATAGCCCTGCACTTGGTTTAATGTACATTTTTATAATTTTAAACAAGGAACCCTGCATTTTGATTTTGCACTGGACCCCCTAAATTATGTGGCTGGGCTTGTCTTGAACGAGTGTGTGGGGTGTGTTTGCGCACATGCACGTGTGTGGGTATATATTTGAGGGTAGTGCTATAACGATCCATTTTGAAGAAACAAGTATTCCCTGGCTTTCTTCAAAAGCCTTCCATGAAGCTGGGTGCAGTGGTGGACACCTATAACCCCAGCTACCCAGAAGGCCAAGGCAGGAGGGCTTGCAAGTTCAGGCAATTTAGCAAGACCTTGTCTCAAATAAAATAATAAAAAAGGATGAGTTTGTAACTCAGTGGTAAAGAACCCTAGGTTCAATATCCAAGTACTGCTAATAAAGAAAAGAACAACAACAAAAAGCAAAAACAACCCTCCCATGCCCTACTACAAGACTTTAAAAAAGTTAATTCTTAATTAGGTGAGGATATGAAGAAAAGAACAGTCTCACTTATTACCTATGGTAATGTAATTTTCCCAGGGGGAAATACACCCCCCCACACACACGAACTCACATACATATATACACACTCTTAAAAAGTTCTCTTGGATTTGAAAATTTGAAATTCAAAATCTTAGTGCATTACTTTCCATGTCTTTGCTCTTAGGGCTATTTATTTAGTTTTGACGTTTATTGCTTATATTTACAAATTTTATTATTATTGAGGTAATGCACACCATAGTTTAAAAATCAAACAATACTAAAATGCTTGTAATGAAAAACAGCAGTTTCCTTCTTTATCCCTCCTCACTGCTAAGCCCTAGTTCCTACAGGCAACTCATTTAGCTTTGTCTTCTGGTATTTTACGCCTCTATTTTTATGCTACTTCTCTTCTTGATTAATCAAATTCAAGTAATCCATTAACTTCTTGTTATAATACCAATGGTTTAGTTTTCTCATGCCTCCCCACAATCACTTCATTCGATTTAATATATATCTATTTTGCACATATTCTTAAAGATGTGTTGATATGCCTCCACTATCTGGTTCATAAAATTATGTTTTATACTTAATCGCACCTTACATTTTTTTTCACTGAGCACTGAGTGTTTAGGATTCCTCTGTGTTGGTTTGCGCTTGCACATGGAGGAGGTAGCACGTGAAATTTATTCACTTCCACGTTGTTGGTAATAGAAAAAGATTAATGCCAAACTGTCTGTTAACGGGGGAATGGATTAAACTAATAAAATACACAGTTAAAAGCATGCGCTGGAACTTGTTGCAGGATAGATGCAGGTGAATCAAAGCTCCTTGCTAGATGAAAACTGGGGATCACTTGGCTTGAACCTCTGTGTGGGGCATGTGAAGTGTTGAAGTGCTCATTCTTGTGGAGGTTAGCCGCTGACTGGTAAGGTGCCCGGGATTACCAAGGTGCTCAAACGATGCCCCTCCCTTTCTGTGATTCTTTAGACCAGCTTGGCCATTACTTCCTGGACACCGATTCCTCTCTGGGAGCACGTTTCTTCTCTGGATCTCTGGCTTTCCCATTTTCTTGTCCTTTACCTCCGGACTTCCATCTCCTTTTATCCCGTTGGGAGGAACTCCAAGAGCCTGTTAAAACAGAACCTAAGTCATTAATAGTAGAAAGAAGAAATAGTTTCATTCTTTATAGGCTAATCCTTCTATTAGAGAAAAGAAAACAAATGGCTAAATGTACAGATATGTAGTTAAATAATTATACACTACCGTATTTTGCTTATTATCTCCACGCTCTTTTCTCTTTCTCTATATTCCTTTTGCCAGAGGGGAAGGGAGTTTGAGGAGAATGATTATAGATAAGGAGTCAAGGAAGATACACTAGCCCATAAATCAGGGATAGCACAGATCTCCAATGAAGACTGGTCACATGGTAATTAGGTGTGAACTGGAGGTCAGTACCTGGGTCTGGGGTCTCCAGCTGGCATCTCACTACTTCAGCCACATGACAACAGTCGGTCCTGTAATACCTTCTAAACTTAGAAGTTCAAGTTGCTTCTTATTGTGGATGCTAATTAAGCCAAATAGGAAGGTCTCATACCCACTCCCTCACCAATATTTAAAGAGTCCTGGGGATGCAGCCTCTGTACTGGGTGCAGGAAAGATGTGGGCCTTGGGTGAACACTGGAGAAAGTCACATTTTGGTCCTCTAGTGATGGGTTTAACACTTAATCAGGCCCGGTGAGGATGTACCTGCTGGATTTTGGAATTGGATTCTGAAAGGTTTCTCAGAGGTACAGGGATTGGAGAGTATGCCCAGTGTTTCAAAGTGCTGGCAAAGGATCTATAGTAGTTGGGGTGGGGTAAGACATGATTAAAATGATGGGAAAGGTATATCAGGTATGAAACCCAGGTCAACAATCTATTCTTCTCTATGGCTGCCTGAGAAAGAACAGATTTTAGTAATCATACAAGCTTTATATTTGCTCAATGATTCCCACTTTCCTACAAACCTGGTTGGGTGAGTCTTTTCTTGACTAAGTAAGAACAAGGTATTTTTGCATGCATAGGAGAAGTTGTAAGAAAGCCAATGCTATGGTTTGGATATGAAGTATCCCCCAATAAGCTCATGTGAGAGACGATGCCAGAATGTTCTGAGGTCAAAGGATTCAACTATGCCAACTGTAACCCAAGCAGTGGACTGACTAATCCACTTGATGGACTAATAACTTGAAATACATTATTAATTACTGGGTAGGCAAGGGGGACCTAGCTGGAGGAAGTAGGTCATTGGTCATTATTCAGGCCCAGAATAATGGAGTGTGCTGACCATGGACTGAAACATCTAAAAGTGTGAGTCCAAATAAATTTTCTACCTTTAATTTTTTTTTTTTTGGTACCAGGGATTGAATTCAGGGTCACTTAGTTATTGAGCCACATCCTCAGCCCTTTGTCTTTAATTTTTATTTTGAGTCAGGGTCTTGCTAAGTTGCTTAGGGACTCACTAAGGTGCTGAGGCTAGTTTTGAATTTGCAACTCTCCTGCCTCAGGATCCTGATCTGCTGAGATTATAGGTGTGTGTCATCAGGCCCAGCTTACGTTCTTCTTGGGTATTTTGGTCACAAAGACGAGGAGCTGACTACCACAGTTGAGATCCAGGCTTCATTCATAGCTCGCCCCTATTCTTTGCTGCCAAGCCCCAATCTTTTCCATGCAGTTGTTCTCACTCAACAAATGTTTATTGAGCACCTACAAAACGGCAGGGACTGTCCCCGGCATATGGGACTAACACAATTTTGAAAACGTGCATAAATCTCTCACTTTTGAAGGTTGAAGGAAATCCTTATGTGTTACTAGGTGAACTCCATTGAGAGATAAACAATTTGACAAATCCTATTTCTGTGTAATCAGCTTATTGATCACTTTTAACACAGTTGGGTGGATAGAAACCGTTTGATCTTTTTTTCCTCCAACTTCTGTTTTCAACGGGGCTCTGTAGAATTTAGAATTTCTATTTCCTGCATCTTACTGCTATTTTGAGCCGATTCCATAATGTCTTTCTGTCTTTCAATTATTCAAAATTGAGGTTCCCTTCTAACTCTCTCTGCCGGCTTTGGCAATGGCTAAACTTGTACCTTGCAGAATATGAAGACCAATGGGGACAATGGCATGTCCTTCTGATGTTCCTACTTCTTCAGCTGTTTGTTTTATTGAGAGCACGATGGAAAAATATGGGGGATTTACTGTTTAACTATTTTTATTGTCTTCAGCAACTTGGAGATTGGGAACAGGGGCCAGGAATTTCTGGCTAGGAAATGTCTCCATTGCTTCATAACTTAACTCCTCAAGGTATCGAGGTGAGGAAGGAAGGAAAGGGACCGAGAAAAAGTTTCTATTAATCTAATCGACAGCCTTGTTTGTAGTCTCCTAGGAGTTGATTAGATTACAGCTTTCGCTGTCATTGACACTCTGATGCTGACAGACTGACACACCGGGACACTGTCACTGACACATTGATATTGTGATTTTTATGGGAGGCAGACATCTAAATGCCAGCCCTGGCGCACGCATGGGTTCTGTGGAGGGCCCTACCAAGACTTCCAGACAGTTCCTTGACATGGCAATGCAGACTCTTGCCTTCTTCATATCCTGACTTCAGAAGACATGCATAACCTTGTTTCTGGTCTCCTTTGCCTAAGTGGTTCAGCTAACCCAAGAACTACTAGATGGGAGAACCTTTGCTGCTGGATGGTGGGCATATTTGGCAAGAGCAAGATAACCCATGGCTGGGCTTTGGGGCCCTGCGAAGGTCATAGATGCAAGGTAGCACATGAAATTTCAGGTCTGACAAAACGTCCAGCTATCTCTCTGATTCCTTTCCTACTTGTCTTCTAGGACCAGGGTCAGATTGTTTAGTTTCCTGCAAAAGCAGACGTCCATAAAGAAAACAGAGTTTGCTGGGCAAACTCTTTTCACGGCATTGCCCTATATCGGAGTGATTTTCCAGCTTGTGGAAAATTCAAGAATGGGAATGGATGGAGATATCACCACAGCATGTTTCCATTACGATCACAAAAATACCTGAGATAATCAACGTAGAAGGAGGGAAGGTTTATTTTGGCTCACAGCTTTGGAGGTTTCAGTTCATGGTCAGTCCCCTTGTTTTGGGCCTGTGAGGAGATGGTATATCATGATGGGGGTCCTATGGTAGAGCAAGCTGCTGACTTCATGGTGGTCAGGAAGTGAAAAAGATAAAGAGGAGGGACCAAGTTAGAAAGTGGGCCAAGGACATACCCTATCACAACAGAAGATTTCTCACTAGGCCCCACTTCTTAAAAGTTCCACCTTCTTCCAATATCACCATGGGCTGGGACCAAGCCTTCAACACATGGACCTTTGGGAGACACTTATCCAAACCATAGCATGCTTCCTGATGGCTTCCACCAGTCCCTAATCTGGCCCTTTGTTAGACTGAGGGTGGGGGTGAAGTGTGACGAGAAGGATGACAGGTTGTGGTCTGATTGAAAGTAGAAGAGCTGGTTCTAGGGTCCCTTAACAAACTCTGAGGGAGACAACAGACCCAAAATGCCAGCCACCATCTGTTTGAGTCAGTTTTCTTGCATTATTGTGATCAAAATGCCCAAGGAGAACAACTTAGTAAAAGAAAAGTTTATTTGGGGGCTCATGGTTGAGGTTCAGTCATGGTGGGCTGACGCCATGGCTCTGGGCCTGAGGTGAGACAGAACATAATAGCAAAAGGGCATGGTGGAGGAGCACTCTCTTGTTCATGGTGACCAGGAAGAGAGAGAGAGAGAAGGGAAGGGTCCACAGGGAAGGGGCCCCCTTCCAGAAAACACCCCCAGTGACCCACCCCCATCAGCCATGGCCCACTGCCTACGGTCACTACCCAGTCAGTCCATTCAGACTAGGATGAATTGATTCCATTACAGCTTTCCCGATCCATTCACCTCCCCCCGGAATATTCCTACATCGACACAGGAAATTGTGGGGACATCCCACACAAATCATTACACTATCTTCAAAATGTGTGTTCTTTTCAGTTAGGGGCATCGATTGATTCTGGGACATGAAGAACGTCACAGGATATAATTTCACACATGTTCTTTGAAGACGTGTCTTTAACAGGATATCTCTCAAGGCAACTGGACCCAGCAGGGGACAGCCCACTGCTGACCTTGTCACCTTGAGGATTAACCTGTTACCTCTCCTTTACTCTCCACCTAACCATATTTCCGGCATCTTCGGAGGGATGGGATGAGAAGATGAGAATGCTTTGTGTTCCAGCTTCTGTACCGAGATACTCTGGATACTGTTATCGGATTGTGATATGGGATGTTGGTCATAGCATCATGTGACACGTGGGGTTGGCCATCAACTCACTGCCCCCCACCCCCATGGGTGTTAACATGAGTCTTCCGGTCTGACCACAGATCATCTAGGACACCCTACTGTTTCCCCTCTGCTCCTTTGTTACTACCTTCTAATTTGGAGAGAACATTCTAAGAATGCTGGTGGATGGGAGGGGGGATTGAGTGAAAGCACCCCCACACATGCATTTGGACAGCAGCCTTCTGGGATGAGTAGAGGCCTCCAGCAACCCTGAGTTGAATTTTTTTGTGGCCCCCAAAAAGAGGGTTAGAGAAAGAGTAGTGGAACAGTTTCCTCTTCTGCATAATAGCTACTAGATCTCAGATCTAATTGCAGTTAAATCTGAGGGTCTTTTTTTCTTTTTGTGTCTTCATACATGTACTTTGGATGATAATGATCGTTACATTCCACGATCATTTATAACCCCATGCCCCCTCCCTTCCCTCCAACCCTTATGCCCATCTGGAGTTTGTCTATTCCTCCCATGCTCCCTCTTCCTAACCCATTATAAATCAGCCTCCTTAGATCAAATAGAACATTCGGCATATGTTTTTTTTTGGGATTGGCTTACTTCACTTAGTATTATCTCCTCTAACTCCATTCATTTACCTGCAAATGCCATGATTTTGTTCTCTTTTATTGCTGAATAATATTCCATTGTGTATATATGCCACATTTTTTTTATCCATTCATCTACTGAAGGGCATCTAGGTTGGTTCCACAGTTTAGCTATTGTGAATTGTGCTGCTCTAAACATTGGTGTGGCTGTGTCCCTGTAGTATGCTGTTTTTAAGTCCTTTGAGTATAGACTGAGGAGAGGGATAGCTGGGTCAAATGGTGATTCCTTTTCCAGATTTCCAAGGACTCTCCATACTGCTTTCCATACTGAAATTTGCAGTCCCACCAGCAGTGTATGAGTGTACTTTTTCCCCCACATCCTCACCAACACTTATTGTTGTTTGTCTTCATAATAGCTGCCATTCTGACTGGAGTGAGATGAAATCTTAGATTGGTTTTGATTTGCATTTCTCTAATTGCTAGTGATGATGAACATTTTTTCATATATCTGTTGATTGATTGTATATCATCTTCTGAGAAAAATCTGAGAGTCTTAACATTCCCATTCCCTCTTCTATCTACCAGGGGGCATTGGCATCTCTTGATCATTAAAGACCTTGGAAACTAATGCAGAGAGCCCCTCTTCTTCCCATATTTGTTCTCCTTATAGTTCATTTTATTGTCAGTACTCTCCTCAGATCCCATCTCATTAGCTGCTCTTCATCATTCTACCTTAGGGGCACTTCTGATTTCCTGCCCATTTTCCATGGGAAAACTCATTTATTCACATTTTAAAAATTGCTATCTATATATTTGTGATTCCTAAATACTCCTCTAGCTCAGACCACTATCCCAAATTCCAAATCGATGAGTATTTCCTAGATATCTCCATTTGAATATTTCACAGTCACTTCAACTTGTACATGTCCCAATTGCAACTCATTGTGTCTCCTTATTTCTCAGTTGCTCCTCTCTTGCCATTCCTTGTGTTGGATAACTGTACCCCCAGTTGCCTATGTAACACAGTGGCTCACCAAGAAACATCAGTCTTAGCTCCTACAATTTTCTTAGATTAGTCAATTTCTCTCATCTCTAGTTCTTTGACCCGAGCCTGGTTTACCATTGCCTGTCTCTTTAGTCTCAAAATAGCTTCCCAACCAGTCTTCCTCATTGATAATCTGTTTTCCCCTCTGCTAGCAAGGTGAATTTTCAGGATGAGAAGTAAAATCATGTCATTGCTCTTACTTAATGATGTTCAAATGCTCTTCGTTGTCTTTACGATATGCACTCTCTAGTGTGCTTATAAACTCATTCATTATGTGATTATTACCAACTCTCCACTTGCTCTCCTGCCTATGACCCAGCTCTTTAAATTTTCCATAATTTAAATGAGTATCTTACTTTCTTTTGCAATTGCTGTGTCTGCTGCCTGGGATATACTTTTGATATTCCCTTTCCAGACTCTTTTGCAAAGAGTGTCATCCAACGGACTCCTACTGAATCTTCAGGTTTTAAGCTTAAACTACTTCTTTTGATAGCTCTTCCCAGCCTCTTTATTTTATTAGAACCCACCAATGTGTGTTTCTATAACATCTCATATTTATCCCATCAGAAGATGTATCACACTTTATTGTAACAACTTGATTCATCTTTGAACTCCTCTGCTTCTCTATTAGGCAGGGGCTATGATATCCTAATCACCACTCTAGCCTCAGTGTCTACCAGGTGTCTGCATACAATGTACTTTTGACAAATGGACTAATCATAATATGTGGGTATTTGTACAGAGCCATGTAGATGTGCATATATCCATGCATACACATACCTACATCTCTGTGGAGATATATTATGTGTCTTTCTATCTGTCTTTCCCAGGTTCTGCGGCATGGTAGAAATACCATGGTAGGATTTGATGTTAGGCAGGCAGTTCTACTACCTACTAACTACATGGCAGTTTACTTAACCTTTCTAAAACCTATAATGATGAGAAAAATGACATCTACCTCCCTAGATACTATCATTACCCTGTTTTACAATTCTGGAAATAGATGCATGGAGAAGATAGAACTCTAGTGAGTGGCAGAGTCAAAATTAGAACCCTGGGACTCTGTAGATCCTTGTTCTTGACCTCTATGCAATATTCTCTCTCTCTCTCTCTCTCTCTCTCTCTCTCTCTCTCTCTCTGGTGCTACTTTACAGTAATTCTATATGTAATCAGGTAGTTCTATATTTTCATCTGCTTTACTTACTTTACCAGTTTGGAAATAGCCCATGAGAAAGAAAAGTCGTTGCTATAGTTCAGTTTACTGACAGCTTAGCAACATGACAGATTGTATCACAAAACCAAGAGACAAAAAGATCATGAAAGGGAAATAGGAAATTTCTGAAGCAGGAGATTTCTGTGAGCTCTTGACAAAAGGGACAAAATCTGCCCTCTTAGCACTTGGGTGCTTCACAGGACAGGAGAGCAACAGACACTCCTTGTCAACTCACGGATTCATCAGGAAGCCCTTCCAAATGTGCTCATTATGCCTCTCAGTTTTATATTTAACAAACAACATACTGAGGTGTGTCTTATGTCAAGAACTGTCTGGGCACTGGGGTTACAGAAGCGGTCCTCCTCCTAAAGGGTGTGTTGTGTGAGAAGGGAGGCAGGATTGGAAATAGCAATTGGGATATGTTGCCAAGGCAGAGACAAGCTTAGAATGTGGGAGTTCATAGGTGGAGTATCAATAACTTATTTAAGGAAGACTTTTTTTAAAAAAAAATTCTGATACTGGGAACTAAACCCAGAGGAGCTCTACCACTGAGCTACATCCCCAGATCTTTTTATTTTATTTTGAAGATAGCGTCTTGCTCAGTTGCCCAGTCTGGCCTGAAATTTGGGATCCTCCTGCCTTCGCCTCCCCAGCACTTGGGATCACAGGATTACAGGAATGCAGTGCCACACCCAAAAAAAGAATTTTTTTTGGTAGAAGGGATGTCCAGGATGAGACCAGAGTAACTCAAAATGGGGAGGATATGTCTTTCAGGAAGATCAAGGATGAGAGATGGTGGTGATAGAGTGAAAAGCATCTAGAGTTTGAAGTTAGCTGGTCGATGTTGGTATTAATTCTTATCAATTACCATTGCGTAACATGAAGCAAATCAGTTAACTTTTCTACCATTCACTACTAAAAAGTGGGGCTATAAGTGCATACTTTGCAAGGTTATTTGAAGGATCAAGTAGGGACATTATATTTGAAGACGGGTTTTAAAGTGCCACACAGTATGAAATTGAAGTATTAAGTGAAATAATGCACTTAGCATAGTGCTTACCTATAGTAAATCCTCAATAAATGTTACTGCCTTCTTTACACTCGATTGCTATGCTGTTTTGGAATTCCTGTACTCTTCAAAGATGAGTTTCTAAGAAGCTGGATTCATCTGACATCTACCATTTATCTATTCTTCAGACTCATCTGCTGCTTTCCCTCCTTTCTCATTTTTCAAGGCTAGGTGCTCTGCTCAATCAAGATTTTTATTTTCCTGGGGGTTGGTGTTTTCATGTCCATTTTCTTGCCTAGTCACTGTTCTTCCTTGCAAAAGAAAGAGGGGGTTGGGACATTAGGGGGTCAGAAATTTAAGTCTTTGGACCCTAGCAACAAAAGAGGGTCGAGTATAATTGAAAATCTAAAAGTGTAGAAGGATTTTCTGGTCTTATAATGGACTTGTTTTTCATTTAGCCAACAGTATAATTAGGAAATGTTCTGGTTCTTGATGGTATATGGAACATCACTCTATTTTTTTTTTTTAAAAAAAAACATTTCTTTTAAGTAAGTTTCAAAGATTGTATCCTAGTGTGGATAGGAATAATTTTCTTGGTAAATCCGTGACCTTTTGTAAAGAGCTCTAGTGCTTCTGGGTTTGGGTTGCTAAGGGATTAATCAGGGCAAGGGACGAAATCAACACTGGGGATGAGAGAGGTTTTTAAACAGCTGAGAGTTGGCTTGCAGAAAATCCAGGGTAGGTGGAAAAACAGACTCACATGATCCTTCCACTGTGGAATGCTTAAGGCTCTGTATTTGTCTTTAGGTGAGGACCAAATGTCAAGGACAGAAACAACAGTAGGGGCTATGACTTGGGTGTCTCATGACCCCTCCACAGTTCATGTAGCCAATTAAATTCCAATGTGGTAGTATTATAAAGTGAGCCTTGTAGGAGGTAATTAGGTCCTGAGAGCAGAACTCTCAAAATGGAGTTAGCAGCCTTATAGAAGGGCTAGAGGGACCAAGTTGGGGTGCTTTCTGTTCCCCCATTTCTTCTGCTACGTGAGGATCTACTGTTCATCCCTTCTGGAATGTGTAGCAATAAGGTACCATCCTCAAGGCAGAAACTGAGCTCTCACCATACACTGAACCTGACAGTGCCTTGATTTTGGACTTTACAGCCTCCAGAGCTATAAGAAAAAAAAATTTCTATTGTTTTAAATTACCCAGCCCCAGGTATTTTTGTTATAATGGCATGACTGATCTAAGACAGCAAGTGCATCTAACTGATCAAAACATAGCAGCAAAAGTCCAAGCATAGAGCATTGCACATAGTAGGTTTTCAACCAGAAAGGGCGGAATTAATTATTTAGCACCCATTTGGCAGAGCACTGCCCCAGGCATGGTGCATAATAATGAGAAAAACAAGTTTCTACTCCTAAAATGCTTGTGATTCCAGTGGCAGAAACGAGAAATGAAAACACAATGAGAAAACCTTTAGACTGATATAATTTCCCAGAAAGAGCTTCAGGAACACATATAAAAAAAGCAACTAATGGTCTGGGTGGGAGTGGGGAGAAGGATGCTTCTGAAAGCAAGGAAAATAGTATTTTCACTCAATAATAGTCTGCACAAAATAAATAGGTAAAAAAGATGAAAAAATTACTTTTGATGGCCAGTGAAGTGGAATTAAAAGAATTATATTCATTAATGGGTACAGAGCACTCAGTGCCTTCTAACTCCAAGTCCTCTCCCTTTCCACCATATAATGCAACATCTTATTATTTTTTAAAAAAATAAAAGCACACATATTTATTTAAAAATTGGACACACAGTTGAACCACCAGGGAACAGAGCTGGAGAAATAGATGTTTCTCCTTTAGTTTATGAGTCATCTTTCCTGCAGCTCTTGTTCTTGGGCTCAGCTCTGACATTTAACTTCTGATTGCACAAGTGGGCTGTGGTTTGTCTGCTTTTGAGGGAATTTAGATTGAGAAAGAATGTGGGAGAGACCTTTTGTCTCTAGCCCCGGGACAATGGATGGAAGAGTAGCTGTGTGGAGCTACTGTGTGGACAGGGAAGGATTATTTATCATGAATTTATTATCATTTATTATGATGATGAAATAGGTTAAACGAGGTCTGATGACTACCCACCTTCTCATCATTGCTACACTTTCCTGCTCAGAACTTTCCCACTCCCCCTGACCCTCTCTCTGCCAAGGACAGACAGGTCTGAAGATATGCAAGTAGTTACAAATTATGGGGATTCATTTTGCTTCTCAATTTGACCAGATTCAGGGATGTCTGGAAAATTGGTAAAGCTTCATGCCCTCATGTGTCTAGAAGGGTGTTTATAGAGCAGATTGGCCTGTCGGTGAACCGAGTGGGGAAGACCTACTCTAATGTCACCACTCAGTAGGCTGGGAGCCCAGATGGAACCAAAAAGCAGAAGGGGAGACTGACTCATCTCTTTCTCTCCCTCTCTCCTCCAGCACGTTCATTTCTTCCTGCTGCTGCCCTTGGACATCAGACTCCAGGTTGTTCGGCCTTTGGATTCAGATGGAATCCTTGGCCTCATTTCTCCTTCTGAGGTTCAGCTTCTTGGCCTGAGCTGCTCCAGCCTTCCCTGACTCCCAACCTGTCGACAACTACCAGGGGACTCTTCCGCCTCTGTTTGTGTGAGCCAATCTAATAAATCTTCTTATGATTCTATGTATTCTGTGTCTGTTTCTTTGGGAACCTGACTCATACACTAGTGCAGAGCATATTGGGGGGGGGTTACACCTAAAAGTTGGCAGCATAGGTAGTCTGATGGCCGTAGGAGGAGAGAAGCTCTCTCCTTCTGGCAGGACCCCCGTCATCGGAGAATGCTCTTGTTAGGCACTCGGTATAGATGTCTCCTGGCCTGACCCTGAAAGCTCCATCAGAGAGGAGCTTACAGCCTGTTCAGGACCTCCAGACCCAGCCTCGACCTCTCGAGAGCTTCTTTCACAAGTCGCATTTCTTTGATGCAGACGTAGCAAAGACACAGAACGGAAACCAGAAAGAGAGAGCCAGTTCTTAAAAGAACCCGGGTCTTTCCAGCCTAGGATCTCAGAAGTCTGTAAAGATATTCCTTACTCTAGACGATCTCTTTGTGAATCCTGGAGAGAACTGGACGATGGTTTGGTGCTGAAAAAGGGCAGCACAGACACTGGGTAGAATCCAGAATGAGGAAGAAAAAAGAAGCAGCTCAAAGCCCATCCTGCCCTGATTTCCCTCTTGTAAGCACACCCAGTTTGATGGAAATTCGGTGAGTGATTCTGGTATTGCCATCACCTATCAGATAGTGGTTTAAACGCATTTCACTGAAGCATAAGGTCGGAGGATTTTAGCACATTTGACTAACGGCCTCTAGGGATTTAGCAAACATTCTAAATCTGGGAAACACAACTTAGGGAACATTGTGAGTGTTTTTGGAAAAGACTCCATCTTAAAACATAAGGAAGCAAACAGTCAAGTATAATTGAACATGTCACTTATAATTAAAGTAGTTTATATTAAAAGATCACAGAGACAGCAATCAGGCACCCATTAAGGAGAGTGATAGCGCAACTCTAAGTAACGTTCTAGAAAGGATGGGGCAGAACTAAACAGTTCTAACCACTTAAATTACATGAAATTGAGCAACATTAAAAATTCTGTTCATCGGTCACACCAGCCACATTTCACAGGCAACAGTCATGTTGTGGTGGGGATGAGATGATGGGGAACTCTTCTTTTTTTTTTTCTTTTTAACACTGTCCTATTTACAGTAATGATCATTACTCTTATTTTAAAATATTTTAATTTAAGCATGAAATTGTGATTTTTTATGAATTGGAAAAGTCAAAGACAATGACAGTGAGAACAGAGAGTGGACTGAACAGAAAAGAGACCGCTGTGGACAGTTCTAGCCACAGTTTCAGTAGAATCTTGGCTTCCAAAGACTGATTATCTGGAGTAAGCAGAACATTTTTTTTTTTAATATGTCAGATGAGAACAACAGATACCACTTGCCTTTTTTTTTCCTGTTCCTGATGGACCTATTGCAATGAGTGATAGAATAGAGTTAAGAAGATATTAAGCTACGAAAACTGTAGACATATGTGGATTGGGGAAGAGGAAGCGTTGAACTAGATGGAGGCAAGAGGAGCAAAAAAAAAAAAAAAAGAAAAAAAATCCTGGTATCTTTATTTTAGGGCCTGAAAAGTACTGCTTCACCCCAAAGCAGCCACCTAGATGCTGTGAACATGTTTCATGTAAATATGATGTGACGTTTTTTTCGAGTAAGTTATGTAAGTCTAGGCAGGATGGCTAATGATCCACTGGATGTGGGGAAAGTGGGTATTGTGGTTTGGATGTGAGGTGTCCCCCGGAAGCTCCTGTGTTCCTGTAGGAATAGTCAGAGGTGAAATGATTAGATTGTGAGAGCTGTAAGCTAATCAGTGCGTCCTAGTTTTAATGGACTCACTGGGTGGTAACAGTACGTCTGTGGGGCGTGGCTGATGGAAGCAGGTCACCGGGACCATGCCCTTTGCTCTCTCTGCTTTCTGGCCACCATGAGTGGAGCAGCCCTCCTCTGCCAAACCCTTCCACCATGATATTCCGTCTCACCTCGGGCCTAGAGCAAGGAGTTGGCTGACCATAAACTGAACCTCTGGAACGGAGCCAAAATGAACTCTTCCTTCTCCATGCTATTCTTGTTTTTTTGTTGTTGTTGTTTTTTGGTCACAACAATGAAATGCTGACTAACACAGTGAGCCAGGTACATAAGCCCAGGAAGAAAAGAGGAATAGAATTTAGTTTATTGCCTGTGATGTACATTTGGATTGAATTCAAAGGGCAAAGGGAGCCGCAGTGGCCCTTTCAGACCAATGTTCTTTCCATATTGTTTTGCATTTACAGTCATGAATCATCTAACAACCGGGGCACATTCTGAGAAATGTATTTTTAGGTGATATCATTGTGTGAACATTATAGGGTGTACTTATGCAAACCGAGCAGCTACTTTGTCACTGGGGGATGTCATCGTAGGGGACCTCTGGCATGTATGTGCTCTGTTGTTGACCAGAAATTTCGTATTTGATGTATAATTGTGTATGGAGGAAAGGTGTGGGGTGTGAGGTACTAGGAAGCTATCATTTCACCTTTCTGAGGAGCATGAAGGAAAACCCATTTCTTTATTTAGCAACCCTCCCTAAAGAGGAAAATAAACAAAAGCCGTGTAGCAATTTGTATTTGTTCTCCAAAGAGTACACTTCAGTGACCGTTTATACCGCACAAATGGTTGCTCACACTTGCTCACAATTTTTCCAAGTGTTCTTCCCGGTTCTCTCTCATCACATTACTCTACCTGAGAGGAGGTCTCACCTAAATTTTCCTCCACTTGGTGACACACCTGGAGATGTTTTAGAGTCCCTCGTCAATTAAGAGCAACTGCCTGGTTGTCCCACTCTTCAACCCATCTCTTTCTGGGGTGCAGAAGCAATCCCGAACTGTTAGTGTGGCTTAGGTGCAAAGTCCAAGGCTGTGAGTGTTCCTAGAAGTGAGGGAGGGAGGTACTGGTGAGAGGGATGGAAATATGGGATGTGGGAGTAAATCCCACTGCTAGTCCTTCTTGGCCTTTGGGTAGCTGGACACTTAAGAAATCAGGGAACAATGAGTGAGCAGCCGTGTTCACCTTGGGCAGGGAGAAGGTCACAAAGGGCACCGTGGAGCCAAAGAACTCTGTTGGCGTTACCGGTGGAGGTTGGCCGGGGTGAGTTCTCAGCATCTGGAACATGGATCAATGCGTAACAACTGTTTTAGCACCAGAAGACCACTTTTTTTTTTTTTTTAACCTACTGGTTGCTATTTGAGTCTCTGCCCTGCTAGAAGTGAGTACAGCTGAGCACGGGAACAGCAGCCCTTCTGCCACCCAAGACTGGGCCTTCTGTGAGACGGCGCCCTAGGGGCATTTCTGTGTAAGGAACACACCAGTAGATAATCTCAAAAGCGCGGCATAGAACAGAAAGGAGCTTTCAAAATGATTTATACATTCCAGAAGGATAAAAACCCTGTGGGAGAGTAAGAACACTGAAATGTGCTCATGCATCAAAATCGTAGTCATGAAGCCAATATTCCTACCAGAGGAAAAAAAAAAAAGAAAAAGAAGTGGAGGGGGGAAAACACAATTTGAGGGTTGAAAAAAGGAAATACCATTTGCAAAGGGAAGAAATTATCCCAGAGACTGTGGACATGCCAAAACATTTCAATCTTTTTATATGCAACATCTTTGCCTAGAAACAACCTGTTTATTAAAAGAATTAAAATATGCAAGGTAGGCTAAGTCTCTGTAATTAAATTTTGTGTGTCAAGGAATCGTGCAGTTAAAGAAATAATGATGGTACCTTGTTATCAGAATTCCCACTCGTCTCCTCTCCTCTCCTTTCTTTTATTCTTTCTTCCCCCACTTTCTCCTCCCTCCCCGACCCTCCTTGACCTTCTATTCCCTTTTCCTCTCCTCTCCTCTCCCCTTTTTCCCTTTTCGTTTAAAACAGAATAAATCCAAGAAACCATGGATGGAGGAGTTAACTTAGTAAGAATCGGATGATTACATGATCTATTTCAATAAACCACAGAATGGTCCTTCTTTGGGACAGAGCCTCCTTAGACTAAAAAAATGTCCACCCATCTTCTTGAGGGTGTGGAACCTGTCTGTGCTCCTTTGTATTGTAGAACAGATCAAACAGTTACAAAAGACTACTGCAGTGTCGCGAAACCTGATTGTCAGTTTTTGTTAAAGTCAGGCTCAGCCTTATGAGGTTCTAGGCTAGCCTCTGGAGATTATGAGATCACTTAGATCCCACCAGACTCTGGCTGGGACTCCAGAGGCTAATCACACGGAGCCCTTCCGACCCTGTTGACTTTGCCTTTAAGGGAGCTGCTTCCTAAACTCCGTGATTAGGAAGGGACTCTCAGAGGAGTTCTGTTGGGCAACTCCTGTCTCCTGGGTTAATTTTCTAGGAGACTTACCATATTCATCCCATGGGTCTGCATGGAGTCAGAATCCAGAAATAAGCCAGGGGATCTCATTACAAGTGGTGCACACAGGCATACTGAGCAAGCTTTGATCTCACGTGGCCTGGTACCTAAGTTTTCTTCTAGTAAAAAATAGCTCGACCTCAGTTGAAGGTATGTGGAATGTCACTTGGCACTATTCTTTGTTCTTTTGAATCCTTGTTAGTGGTTTGTTCTTGGTTAGTTATGGGTGAAAAATGCTCCTGTATAAAGTCAAAGGTGAGGCTCCGTTGTGTATATAGAAAGAACTTACCTGGTTTCTCCTATTAGAAGGGGAAATGCATGGATTTGTTTAGGTAAGAACTAGATTTAGGGACAGAGACTGAAACTGGAGTATGAATATTTCTTTTTATTTGTATGAGTATTCCAAGAAGTTAAGGCAAGTGACTTAAAAGTTTTAGGGAGTTATTCTCATTATCATCATAGTAAGCAATTGCAGTGTAGCGGAACATGTACTGAGTGGGTCTTTGCGTGATCATCACATCTAATCCTCCCGAGAATCCCATGCAGCAATCCAGAGAAGCAGCTGTCTTTGCAAGAGCTCTGAGTGAAGTGTTTTGCATTTACCTTTGGCCTCTATCTCTAGACACAATTGTATAACTATGGGCCTCATCAGAGGAATGCAAATTAAAACCA